CTTGGACTTTAAAAACATTGCTCACTTCTTAAGCGCTACCTCCAACACTCACTTTTCATTCTTAGCAAGAAACCAATCAAGACACGCACGATGGAACCCCAATTAAGATCACGGGTGACTCGATAATGGTTTAGAGGGATCTATCACACTTTTGGGTCGTGGGCTATCCTATGCCTCCATCATCCTCGCTAGTGACAACGATGAATGTTACATATCATGGTAAGAGGGATCTATCACACATGAAAAAGACAAACTGCACGAGTCTCACATAGCTACCTAGATGCTCAAACCTCATTCCAATTTCAAAAATTTTGATGCATGGCAATTGTGATCAATGATTACTCAATCCTAGGAACCTATCGGTTCACACACATATGAGAACTAAACACTTGCACCAACCTAATGCAATTCTCAATTACTATAATAGGATCCACTCAATCACAAGTAATCAATCCATAACCAACGCCACTAAACACAAGATCCTCCAACGACCGGCCACTTTGATCATGCAAATGCTTGGAGCCCTCAAATTTTCTTAAAATTTGGGCATACAACTAGGCTCCAAGCACTCAATCACACCAATCATTCACACACACATGAATAATAGACTACCACCCCCCACACTTAACCTCGACATTGCCCTCAATTGCGTAAATCAAGGGGTAGAATGATGTTACCGCATAGCTTGGCGAGTGAAAGTCGGGACATAATTGGGCCAGTTTCAAGAGAGGTGAAAGCTTCACATGGGAAAAACACAAAAAACAACACATTCTCGCACAAGGCGAGGTTATTTCACAATAATAATACTTAACATAAAAACAAACACAAACATATGTTGGGTTGCCTCCCAACAAGCGCTACTTTAACGTCATAAGCTAGATGGTTGCTCCTCAAGTTTCGGTTCATCCGAGAACCTCTTTGAAGTTGATGTTCTCGTCATCTAGGTGGAGCCTCAAGTCATGAGCATATGGAGTAGTAGTTGATGACGACTCATGGACTTGAGTAAGTTGAAGCCTCCACCCTTGAGACCTCTCCTTCTCTTTTTTACTCTTCTCTTTGCCCCAAGCCATGTTGTGCAACATTGATTGACTTTCATCGTATCCACCAAGAGGGATCGCCGATGGTTTGGCCTTGGCTTGGAAAAGAGCCACCAAAAGGGTCATTCTCCAAAAGCGCGTCAAGGTCGGGTAGAAAACATTGGTAGCACATGTAACTCGTGGATACTTCATCCACCTCGACCTCGTCCTCATCTTGGACACCACTTGCTCCTTCTTTTTCTTCCACAACCTCCATTCCTTCCTCTTTGATTTCCTCCCCTTGAGAACAATCAAGATCTTCTCTTTCTTCAATTTTCACATACTCCTCTACAAACTTCCTTCTCTCTTCCGCTCGGTCTTCTCTCACCTTCCCATTTGTGTTTTCAAGCACGGTTTGGAGGGAAAGATGCCATGATCATAGAAAGGATTCTCTTGCTTCTCTTCCCTCGTGACTTGATCTTTAAAGTTGATCTCGCAAAGGAGAAAGTTATGAGAGTCATCAATGCAACCTTCTTGGCCATCCTCACCACGAAAGCTCTCCGGGGTGAGTTCCTCTTGCTTCACACGGTTTTCATTGATCGCCCCTTCAACCTCCACTTCTTCTTTAAATTGTGAGAGGTGATGGCGTGCACAAGCTCGTGCCATCTTCTTCTAGTGTCGACCCGAGAGGAGGGAAGGCTTGGAAATCCATGTCAGAGCTCGTCCTTCCAAAATTCTAATGGCTTTCTCTCCGACTTTCTCTCTTCCTTCCCATGGTAGGAGGCGATTGCGAGCAAGTTGTGCACATGCTTGCTCAACAAGCCCTCCTAGCCTCTCCGTGTGTCGAAGGAGCTCCTCTGATTCCTGTAGAAAGGTTGAGTCGAAAGGGTTGGCAATTGGGAGGTCCATGCTAGAGCACCCTTCATCGGTGCCCTGGGCGAAATGCTCCATCATGAGCTCTAGTTCTCTCTTTGGCTCCGGTTGTAGAGTGGCACATGATCTTAAGGTTTGTCCCACGAAAGCCTCCATGGCCAACTCCAACTTCAGTTTCACCCTGAGTTGTGGAGGGAAATCCTCTCGATATGGGGAAGCTTCTTGGTATCCCCATGAGCATGGTTGCTCTTCTTGGAAGGGAGGTTGATAGTAGAACCCGGATCCTTGACTCCCTCCATTTTGATTGTCCCATGAAGTCCATGGGTAACCACTCTCAAGTGGTGGTGGATACCCCCACACTTGGGTGAAATCATAAGGATCCATGATCCAATACCTACAAACACTAAAACACTAAAAAGAAAAATCAAACACACACAAAGCATCCTTCAAGATGAAGAGTGGTAAACAAAACACATAAGGAAAAAAAAATTCAAGATAGAACATGCTAAAGTAGCACTAAGCGACCTTTTCAAAATAATGGACTGTGGTTCCCTGGCAATGGCGCCAAAAACTTGACTCGTTCTAACTACACATCTCAATCGCCGGCCAAGTATAACCGCCAACCGGGTGTAGCATACGGAAAGCAAGCAATAATAATTTATCGTACCACAGGGATCTAGGCTTACCCTACTTCAGGTTTAGGGTTCGTTATCTAGCCAACCTAGAGTAGTGATTAGAAAACACTAAACTAACTAACCTAACTCACTACTAACCTAACTATTTACAAGGTTGGGAGCTCTCTTGGGTTAAATCCTCTTGGGTTAAATCCTCTTGGGTTAAATCCCCCTATTTCCGACCTTTTGATCAATGTTGAGTATCCTCCTAGCTCAATCGACTCAAATACTCTACCATTTGGAGATAGACTCCTCGGGATCGACCCGGAACAACGAAGCGGTGGATTGGTAGGGGCTTTATTCAACCTAGGGTTTCGTATATTGCTAGGAAGTAGATTAAATCAACTTCCTCGAAGATTACCCGGTCAATATACGATATGAGTGACCCAAAAACGCCAATAGTGGGGCTCTAAGGGGAGTATCTCCCTCCTAGTTCAAAAGCTCAATGCTTGAAAATGGAAACCCAACTCATGCCATTCATGAAAACATCCATCAATTAAGTAAAATCATCAATCAAACATGGAATTTGTCACATACATCAACATAAAACCAAAACCTAGACCTAAGGTTCTTAATCCCAAGAGCAGTGGGTGAGTTTCTAGAGAGAAGAGAGAAATTACAAGTTGGAGCACAAGATTTTCTTCTTCTTCTTCTTCTTCTTCTTCTTCTTCTTCTTCTAGACTTGATTCCTTGCTTCCAAACTTGATCAATGCCTTCAATTAAGCTCTAGGATCACTCCAGAACTCTCTCTCTCACACTAGAACTCCCCTTTGGTGTTTAGGGTCAAAATCTAAGAGATAGAATAAATTTCTCCAAAAACCAGCCCTCTCTCTGTTTCCTTCAGCTCACGCCCCTTTTATATGCAGATGGACGCCTGTTCACGGCGATGAACATCCTTCCTGGACCGTGATGTCGAGCAAACCCACACCGTTTCACTTAGTTTGTTCACGGTTTGCGGCTTGAGTTCATGGTTTTAGCGATCGTGAACTGACCCAGTGAGATGCTTAAACCGCTCTGGACTCTTGGCGCTTCACGGTCTGGGATTTGGTTCACGGTTTTAGCGACCGTGAACTGGTTGGACTCCAATGAGATGCGCCATTCATTCTGGTACTTCAGGGCTTCACGATCTTGGCGCCCTTTTTACAGACCATGAACACTCAGCTTCCACTGTGATCCTCAGTTGCTTCCACCCTTTGACTCGTTTTCGCTCCTTTTCATCCCACTTTCGATTCCGGGGTCAGTTTCACCTGCTAGAATCTGAAACATACTAAAACAAAGCGGAACCTAGCGTAAAATCACACCTCGCGGAGTACAAAAGCATCAAATGTCTAAAGAAAATGGGGATAAAATGTGTACAATTGGACCCGAATCACTTTGGTACGCTACATACGACATCACTCCTGATAGATCTAGCATGGGATGAATTTTTTTTTACATCTAAAGTTTCAAAGACAGTTGTAGCTAACACATTTTTCCTGTTCTAGAGTATATGGAAGGGTCGATGCAAAGTCACCAACGATTTAACATTATTATGAAGCCTAGTGTTATTTTGCCAATTGACAGCTCAGGCAGAGGAATGGAGGATGACGGAGGAACAGAAGCTCCGAAGAAGGAAGGTAGACAACCCATACCAAACAACGTACCCACTAATCAGTTTCCCCATAGGAACAATAAGGATGTCACTTTCCCCATCGGGGGCATCATAGTTCGCTTTGATGGTGCTATGTAGACCAATGAAGGAAGTGCTTCGGCCTTCGTTGGCCTATCAGGTGATGGAAACATTCTTTTTGCCCTTGGTAGATGCTATGATGGCACCTCAGACATTTTTGTAGAGGAATTAATTGCTCTTCAAGGTGCTATGACATGATGTCTAATACATAACTTTTCTTTTTCGTTGTTGCATTTTGTGGCAATTCTCAATTGGTCATCAAACATGTGACGTCCAAGGAAGCTTCTCATTCGATAGGTGGCGCAATCTTGGCATGTGACGTCCAGAGGTGCCGAAGTCATGATCGTGACATTGACAGGTGAACCATGACGTCAAACTGAAGTGCACTGTTTCATTTCAATTCTCACAGTTTCGTTGTGAATTTCACAGTTTCAACTGTGAATAGTGACTTTCAACAACTTCTCTACTTTGTCCAGGTTTTGATTCCAAATGGCCAGATAATCGTTTCTTTCGCCATATTCACATGATAGGATCTTAAATATACTCAAGCAAGCACAATCTAGCATGAAACCGCCAATAATGCGTTAAATTGTTAAGTTACCCTTTGAATATTATTTTACTGACTTTTGGTCAAATCGGAGAATCAGTGTGTCGTTTAATGAAATTTATTTGTTGAATCCGTGGAAAAAAATCATTTTGGCAGCCTCGGCATTAAATTCTGGCTTCATCGCTACTGCTTGCTACATTAGGAAGCTTAACTATTACTGATGAACACAACAAGAGCACTTTGAATTGATAAAACTGATTCTTTGCTCTACACATTAGTTTGAAAGATCAATACAATTGATGGTTTCCAATCAATTACATGGTCACTTAAACAACTAAAGAATTAAGAAAAAGAAAGACAATAAGTAGTCAACAGTTTTCTGCACTTCAAACCACCCAAATTCAACCCCCCAGTCCAGCTGAATGCAGTAAGAAAAAGAAAGTTAACCGATCATCATCATCAATACATGGTGAACTTGGCTTTGGTCTTTTCAAACACTTGTTCTGCAATAACAGCACCACTCCCATCAGCCTGCTTGATCTCCATATTAGCCTTCTGGTAAAACCCTGTACCTCTTAAAGCGTCGGCAATGAAATCATCAAACCCTATCGCTATTGCTGCTTCAGCTTTCGCCCCGTACACCAACCTCTGCCATTTGCAAAAACACAAGGTAAAAGAAAAAACCCACCATAAGATTTCAGTTAATACAATGGCAATGCTGAAGATCAGGAAGCTTTACTTTCCCAAACGTACTTTGATTCTGGAAAGATGGATGGCACCGAAACACATAGGACAAGGCTCGCAGGATGCATAGATTTCACAATCGGACAGCTCGATTCGGTTGAGCTTTTTACAAGCCTGCAAAAAAGTAATCGAAGTCCGCTGATCGAGCTTCAATCGACAAGATTTGAATGGCTAAGAAAGGGTGAGACGACTCCTGGGGTCTTAGTTACCTCTCTAACAGCGGTGACCTCGGCATGAGCAGTTGGGTCGGTGTGTCTGAGAACCATGTTGTGACAGCTCACGACTACTTCGTCATTGCAAACAACAACTGCGCCAAATGGGCCTCCATCCCCACAATCAACGCCTCTGTATGCTTCTTCAACAGCTCGAGTCAAGAACTTGTGGTCTCTGTCCTGCACAGCTGTTCAGAGACATAAGCCGAAAAGGATGCACCCATTAGAACTTCCACAACTGGATATTCAGTAGTCAAATGGATGACTACATTAATTCAGGCTACTCTTAGGAACAAGGAAATTATCTTTCTTGCTTAGACATTGCTTTCTTATATTGACTTCACTGCAAAGCCTGCAGCAGTTTAACACCAAATAGAAAAGCCACTGCAAAATTACCTTCCTGATGAGCAGCAAATGCAGAAGCTACTGAGATAGTCCCATCTTGAGTAGGCAGCACTGATTTTTTTCAATCACAGAAAGTAAAAACCGTAAGTTTTAATGTTCATCCTTGAATTTGAAGAACAGACAGCGATGAATTCAAATCAAAAGATGCTCAGAAGCTGTACTGAACATGAGATGCAAGAAAGATTCAAACAAAGCAAGATTGAAAAGATATAAACACTCAGCATTTGCCCTTTGTACGCACTAAATCTACTTCCTAATTACTCCATGGATGACTGGAAAAATTGGACTAAGTAGTAAGCCTTGCAGTGGAGGACTGAAGTCTAGGATGAAGGAATTCCACTGTGATCGCTGACAGATCACGGTTCTTAGTTTCTGATGAGCAATTCAACAAAATATTGCACAAAAGAGCTGCCTTTCTTCCAAGTTATAAACAAGATGGTTGATGAACACCCTCGACCTGATTCGGCTCAGAATTTCGTGATGAAATAAATGATTAGATCCAAGTAATCACAAGCGTAAAGCACAAAGGAATCTCTAAGTATTCCGACCGAAGGAAAGCAGCTCTTCAGGATCTGTCCACGCGTCCATGTAAGTCTCCAAAACGAGAAGGCCATCAGTTCCTAAAATCATAGAATCATGAAGACCCACTGAAGAACAGATCACACTTCAACCCAGAATTCAATTGACCCAGAGAACACGCGGAGAAGAAAAAAAAAATCACTATCCAAGCCAAAACGAATCAAACCTCAACAACCCAGAAACAAAAGCACCATTAGAAATCCAAATTCAGCCATAATCCATCGACACCACAATCAGAACTCCCACGCAATTTCCCGAATAGAGAGAATGCGAGCTGGAAAAAGTAAAGCCGCAGAAGAAGCGGTAAAAAGAAACAGATCACAAGAGTGGTGAACGTTTACCGTTGCCATCCTCCATGACCGGTATCAGAGAATCAGAACAGAAACTACAGTTGGGGTCCCTGGAAGATAGAAGCAGGAGGAAAAAAATGACACGAGAGATTAGAGAGAGATGTAGAGGAAAAAGAGATACGCGTGGAAACGTTTCAGACTCAGAGAAACAAGTCCACGAATTCACAAAGGATTTTATAGACGTCTCGTCCACAACAAAGCGCTTGTGGCGTTATTAAAACATTGAGGGGTTATTAAAACATTGAGGGGTCGTTTGGATGGATCAACTATAAAACGAGACAATTTGATCAATTGTTTTATTTTACAAAATGAGTTATTTAAAACGAGTCAATTCAGATTACCTGCCCCCACCTTAGACAATTGCAATTGGCTCAAAATAAGTCAATTCAAAATTCCCCAGCCCAAATTGCTTCATCCAAATTTTATGCTGCCAAACGGATCAATCTAGCACAATTGGCTCAAAACGAGACAATTATGTCAGATTGATCCATTAGAATTCCTCATCCAAACGAAGGAAAAAGCGATGAAAGTTGAGGTGGGAAATGGATTGATCCATGAATTGGTGGATTCATAGATCAAATGGATTGGATTCAATGGATTGATGGGTTCATGGATTGGTGGATTATCCATGAATCCAAATGACATCCTCAACTAGGGCTGGGAAATGGTGCGGTCTGGTCCATACCAGACCATATATACGGTCTATGGTCTAGACCGAGAGGCTAAAGTATAGACCACATACTAGACCACGTACTATACGGTCCGGTCCAGACCACGCCTGTGCGGTCTGGTTTGGTCCGGTCTGGTCCAGATAGATCACACTCAACGAAAAATGAATAATTTGTTTAGTCAATCACACAAAAAATTCAACCAATAACCAAGAATAATAATTTTTATTTGCCTTAAAACATTAATCCTAACATGAATGAATAATTTTGATACTCTAAATCTTAATATATAACAAAGATACAAAGTGAAAGCATCTCAACTTGCAACATAACGTCATAAACATTAACATAATGCCATATGGAGACACAATTATCTCTACTCTCTAGTTAAATGTGGTTGTGAATGAAGGAGGGACGAGATTCACAAAACTAAGATTGAGACTTGGGTGTCGTTGTGGGAGCTGGGAGAGTGGTTGAATGGGCTGTTAACACGTATTGACAAGTCAGTTGGGTCCACGGTTTGGTCAGGTAAACCGCGGTCTAGACCAGACCAGACCAAGAGATCAAAACATAAAATAATACAGACCATAGACCAGACTAGACCATACTTAACGGTTTACGGTCCGGACCAAACTGTGTGGTACGGTTTGGACCACGATTTTTCTAACGGTTTGGTCTATTTTTCCAGCCATATCCTCAACTACGGACCAATATGTAAAATGTGAAAAGTTTAGGTACTAAAATGTCATAATGAAAATTTTTAGGTACCAAAACGTAATTTTCCAATGATATTTTTCGTATAAAAAATTAAATTTTGGGTACCAAAATATAAAATATAAAAATTATAGGTACCAAACTGTAATTTATCATTTGGATCCATGGATCAATCAATGAATCCACCAATCCAATTGGATTTGGATTTAAATGGATTGGATTAGGTGGATATTTTTTATGGGTTAGTGAATTGGATTGGTGGATTGGATTGAGAATTGCCACCTCTAGCGATGAGAATGGGAGCGGGAGGGCAAGGTGAGCAGCGTGGGCCTAGGATGAGATCACTAGGGTAGCAAATCAAACCCATGATTGCGGTTATTCGATTGCCTTTGATCTAATTAAGGAGGGGAATCTTCGTATTGACGAGGTATGAGGCGGGTATGGGTAAATACTGTAAAAAGTTTGATAGGTATAAGGCGGGTATGATTTTAGCTTCTTTGCCTCATACTTGTCCCACCAAAAATATTTCTTCATATATAAAAAATATATTTATCAATTTGAAACCTATCAATATCAATGATAGTGAAGGTAACTTAAGACAATATATAGTAGATATGCAATTGAGTGGCTACTCATATCCAAATCTAATTCCTTAACGTCTGCCTTCATTATTTCATTTTTCCCTCTTGTTAACAAGATAATTATGTTAGTTAAGTATTATTTAGTAGATGTATTGGAGTTAGAAGCTAATGATTTTAGAAAATATTATACTCTATCTTATTGATTAATCAACACAATATATAATAGCAAGAAAGGGAAAACTGTTGCTCCATTTCAAATTTCCTGAAACGAGAGTGAAAGTAGGAAGGACATTTTGGTCTTCACAATTAATTTTTTTTATTTATTTATAACAAAGACACGTACTGGAATTCGAACCATGACCACTTTAAACAAAAACAAGGATCATAACCAATCATACTAAGTACATTTATTGTATCTTTGTAAATTAAAAACATATAATAGTAGGGAGGACAAAACTCTTCCCCCATTCAAAATTCCCTTCTCCATGAGCGTTTGTAGGAAGGGTAGAATAGGGAGTGTCAATTTTTTCTCTTTCCTCTGTGGAAATGGCTAACTTACCGTACACATGCGAATTTAAACAGGCCCATGAGTGTAATTTTTTTTCTTTAAACCCTTTGATTTCTCGGTCTTGGTAAAATCTACACATAATATAATAACAGGAAGGAAAAAAATCTTCCCCCATTTCAAATTCCCTACTTTATGTTACCAAAACAAAATTCTCTGCTCTAGGAGCGTTTGTAGGAAGGGTAGAATAGGGAGTGTCAATTTTTTTTCTTTTTCATCTATGGAATGGGCCAACTTACTGTACACGTGTGGAGTTAAACAGACCCAGGAATTGTTGCGGCCCAACAAAAACAAAACAGGCCTCGTTAAGCCCTTTTATTTCTCGGTGTTGGTAAGATATATATGAAAGGGAAAAAACAATACTCCTTTTTTATTGATAAAAAAAATCAACAATAAACAAATGCATTGATTCTTATGGGCTAACCGCTAACCATAAAATAAAAGAGTTGAATGGGCCTGACCTATACGAGATTTGGCCATCAAGTAAAATAAATGAACATCATGGGTTTGCCATCCTAAAACAAGCTATTTTCTCTAGCATAACATATATTATGCTATTATTTTATATCTTAGTGGCTAAGGGTTTGAGAATAGTACTAGATGACAAACTTCGGTCAATTCAAGGTCTATATATCATTTTTTTACTCAAGATATGTTATGCCTTTGATTTTATCCAAGTTATGATAGAACTGTCCATGCATGTTTGTATATATTTTATCTATTCAAAATTTCCATATTCGTATTTTTGTCAAGACATTTCATTTTTTCTCGTTCATTTGATGACTTCCATACTAAACACATATAAAACTCGTATATTTGATGACTTTCGTACTAAACACATATAAAACTCGTAAGTATGTTAAATATTCATATTTAATTAATTAAATTGCTATCTTAATTATTATTTTAATATCTATTTATTTTTAAAATATATAATTTTATATATTTTATTACTTATGATGTACTAATAAACGTACAATTAGTTTAAAGCTGAAATAAAATACCCATTCATATTTTGTACGTAACTTACCCGTACCGTATGTTACTAACTATGATTCCAATTACTCTTATTTAATAAAGGATAAATATCAATTTCATGATTATTTTATTTATCAATAAAAATGTAAAAATTAAAAATGGGCTCGCTGACATTTTTTCCCTCCCTCCAGCGGCTTTGTAGTGTTTGTCGGTTTCTTTTGTGATGTATCTTTGTCATTTTTATCTGCCATGTTTGTAATGTTTATAAGCTTTATCATTTTTGTCTACCAGGTTTGTAATGTTTGTAAGTTTTGTCACTTTTGTCTACCATGTTTGACTTTCGGACGGACTCCTTTAAATAGGGACGGAGCCTACAAAGTTAACCTGATTGTTTTTCCATTTGTATGGTTTGTAAATCCATTATGTATGGTTCGTATTGTTTGTAAATTTAGTTTGTATAGTTTATATGGTTTGTATGGTTTGTCAATTTTGTCCACCATGTTTGTAATATTTGTATGTCTAAAAAACAACATGGTTGACTTTAGGATGGAACTCTTCTAAATAGGGAAGGAGCCTCCAAAGTCAACCTATTTGTTTTTCCAGTTTGTATGGTTTGTATTGTTCGTAAATCCATTATATATGGTTTGTATTGTTTGTAAATGTAGTTTGTATGGTTTGTATGATTTGTCATTTTTATCGAACATGTTTGTAATATTTGTATGTCTAAAAAACAATATGGTTGATTCGGCCCTAATTGCACACATTTTATCCCCTTTTCCCTTGGGCGTTTGTGGCATTTGAGCTCCTAAAAGGGTGGTTTTAAGTTAGGTTTTGTATGTTTCAGTGTGTTTCAGGATCTAACAGGTGAAACCAGCCCCGAAGTCGAAAGTTGGAAGAAAAGGAGCAAAGACCGGGCTAAGAGGGTGATTCAGGCCATGTTCACGGTCTCCTATGTACGTGAACTGAAGCCATAAACCGTGAACCGCGAAGCGTCCAGGGAGAATTCTGAAGTTACTGCCGCCGAGTGAGTTCACGGTCACTAAGACCGTGAACTTTGAGAGGGAGAAAACACCTTCTTCTTCATATTTTAGAGAGAGAAAGGACGAACCAAAGGAGAAAGGAGGCTAGGATTTGCTCCAAGTGGTGAATTGGGAAGAATCTCCTCAAGAGAAGATCAACACAAGATCAAAGGAGTGTGGAGGCATCACCATGATGGTTTCTACTTCTTTCTTCTGTGTTCTTCCCCTTTCTAGCATGCAGTAGTTACATTTTTCACTTGGGTGTTGTGAAACCCTAACTATTTGCCATGTAGTTGTAGTGTGAATTGAATGATTGTTTATGGGTGTTGTTTAATTTAATGATTGATGTATTTTTCATGATGATTGTGCATGTTTGTGCTTAGCAATCTAATTGGCCATTCTAACCTAGGTTAGAAGGGAAACCCCCATTTCCAAAAGAGGCTCAATTGAGTTGGGATTCCTTGGGCTTTTCAAGCCACCTACCTAGATTAATGTAGGGAAAACCTCTATCTTGAACTAATCGACCAGGTTAATCGGGATTAAACCGTCCAACCATTGGTTTGAGGAAGAATTACAGTCAACCCTCAATTGCCTTAACCAAGAGGGATACTCTAGTA